GTATGGTATGTGGTATTTTAGGGAACTCACTAAGTTTTGTGCTTACGGTTTTCAGTTTATGTTTCAGGTACTTCTGGTTCAAAGGGGATGTAACATCCGGATTTTCAGGTACATTATTTAATTATTATTTTTGGAGATTTTGAGAGAGACTCGGCGAGTTGATGCTTAGATTCGCCCAGTAGAGTCACGAATTTTCATCCAGGTTAATGATCGGACTCGGCGAGTCGACTAGTGGACTCGCCGAGTCCGCGCTGTTTAATGAAACCCTAATTTCCGGGGTTTGAGACCTATTTAAAGGCCCTTATGGCCTTCATTCGCGGCTACCAGTTCATAGAGTGAGACCCCAGAGTGTGTGAGTGTTTTGAGAGAGAAAGGAAACCATTTTTGATCCTTGTGTGGGTGATTTTGCAAGAAGAAGGTGACCAAGGCAAGAGGAAGCTACAAAAGGGAGCTAATCTATGGATTTCCGAGCTTAAGGACTTCATCTTGAGGTACATATTCGATCCTTCTTCAGTTTGCGGTGTTAATCCTTGAGAGTTAGGGTTTCTAGCCCATTTAGAGTATGATTGTTAGTGCATTTGGTCCCTTCTTGTGTTGAGGCTTCGAAAATTGATCCAAAGAGGCCCAGAGACCTTAAATCCTTGATCTTTATTGAGTGTCTTGGAGAGATCTGAGTTTTGGATGGCATACTGAGGCCATTTCTTCAAATAGAGGCATGGGGTCCTTTCATGGGCATCAAGATCCAAACTTTACGTGTTTTTATTGCTTTAGGAGGCCAGATCTATAAGTTAAAGGAATGGATCTGACCTCAGGAGCTCTTTTAAGCTCGAGCATGGCAAGAACTCGTCGAGTCCCAAGAACAGACTCGACGAGTAGGGCTAGGGTTTCCCGTAAGTCACTTAGTGAGTAACTTGTCGAGTTAGGGGAATGACTCGGTCAGTCAGAAGGGGGTAGAGGATTACAGGTGGAACTCGCCGAGTCCATAATTGAACTCGACGAGTTAAGTCGGGGTGGTCCCGCGATTCATGCCAGGTGTAACCCGTCGAGCAGGGGGAAGGCTCGACGTGTCATGAGAGGCTAGAGAGATAGTGGACACGTGTAGACTCACCGAGTCGCCCAAGTGCACTCGACGAGTCAGGTCAAAGTTTGATCGTTGACTTTGTTGACTTTAGGGATTGGTCAACAATGGGGTCTTTAACCGAGACATCTGAGGGTACTAAGAGAGGGTTGGGTCTAGTCTCGAGAGTTATATTTATGAGCGTATTTTACTTTATGTGATTAGGCGGAGGCTAGACTATACTGCTACCGAGTCAGGGATTTACCGAGACATCTGAGGTGAGTCTTCTCACTATACCTTACCTTGAGTGGTAATTAGAGTTATGTGACAGAGTTATTGTATGTTATTTATGTGTTGTGTTGCACTGCATTATTTCTATGTGATTTATGTCGTGTGTATATTAGAGTATATCAGAGTTAGAACCGGAAGGTTCACAGAGCTAGGACCAGAGGGTCCACAGAGTTAGGGCCTAAGGGCCCACAAAGTTATAGCCTCTAGTGGCTAGTATGTGTTATGTGTGGTATTTTGGGGAACTCACTAAGCTTCATGCTTACAGTGTTTTGTGCTTTGTGTTTCAGGTTTTCTCAGGATCACAGACGGCACCGGCTCGATTGTACACACCAGAGAAAGAATTATGTTTTAGAGGATCCTGGATTACTATTTATTTGATTATGGAGTTAAGTTTCTTGTAATTTAAACAAAAATGAGATTTTTACAAAAAGTGTTATAAGATCAAAGTGAATTTAAATAAAATTTTAGTTTAAAAGTTTTCGGTGTTACAGGGGAAGAGCCCAAGATGATTGCAGTGCACACACCATATTGTTCTGCATTTTATATTACTCTAATGTATTGGGATATTGTTAATACACTTTGATTCACTATGGTTTTATGATGTTGTTTTCGATAATGGTTTTATTAATTTAAAATTCAATATTTTTAGTCTTAATTTTTAGGACGTTACAATGTGATTATTACCGGTAGGATCATATGTTATATGCATAGAGCCAATCTAGGCTCAGAGTCATTATGGACTCGGGGGTTGATACGGACCCGACACAACCTCTTGTTGTTATATGGGTTGATACGGACCCGACACAATTACATGTTGTCATATGGGGTTGATACGGACCTGACACAACCACATGTTATATCTATATGTTTATTGTATGTCTTATTTTGGAAACTCGTTAAGTTTTGTGTTTACAATTTATGTTTATGGTTTCAGATGCTTCAGTTTTCAAAAGGAATGACCCGACTTGATTGCACTTCACCCCAGAGATATTTTGCATTGATAACTTTTACTCTGATATTCAAATGCTATTTTTATCTTGAATGGTTTTGAGAACAATTTTTTTTTTTATAAATCACTGCTTTAAAAATGAAAATTTTACCTTATAATTTTTTAACGTTACATAATTAATTATTTCTAACTTTTTTTTGTAGCTTTACATTCCAATCAGTATACCACAAGATCAATGGTTTTTGGGGGCTTTTGATTTGAAGACAATCAAAATTACTATATACGATAATCATTGGAATGGTGACTACTGTTCGAAAGAAGAGGATTGGTTTATAAGTATGAGAGCCCGCATCCCCAAACTGCTAATAGGAGTGAACTACTTGGGTACCGAACCAATTGATTCAATCTCACTTGAGAGCTTCAAGATGACCCTCAAAAATTCCCCATACATACCACAACAGATTGACAGCAGAGGGGATTATGGGGTGTTTTTGTGTTGGTTTCTGGAAGCGTTGATCACTGGGAAATCGATTTTTGTAGAGGTTAAAACCGATCCATGGGTTTTGGGTTATAGAAACGACTAGTGGAAATTTTTTAAGGTACAAGGAAAAAGATAATTTAAACATCGTATTTGTAATATGACCTACAGACACATCATTTATGTAGTTTATGTATTTATTAGTTGTTTGTTGATTTTAATTGCATATTATATTTTATAAAACCAAAATATATATATATATATATATATATATATATATATATATATATATATATATATATATATATATATTATAAAAACAAAACTTCTACATAATATAAAACCAAAACTTACGCTAAAAGAAAAACCACATGTTACAAAAAAAACAGTAAACTGTATTCCGGAACCATGGTCTGGAACCGTAGAGCGGAATTCCGAAGAGCTCTCCAGAACAATGTGTTCTGAGAATGTGGTTACTTTTATAAAATGGTCATTTATGTCAAAAATGTCATTTATAAAGGTTGGATAACTCAATATACCTAAAAAAAAAAGTTTCAAATTCAAAATCTACTTCAACTAGCATTTAACCAAAAAAAAAAAAAAAAGATTTTAGCAAATTGGCTTAAATACTCTTTAAAATAAATAAATCATATCCATATTTTTAGTAATTATCTTATATGATTAAATATAAATATATTTTAATAATTATGATATCTTTATTTGAAACAATAATATCATACATTTTATAATTTATTAATATCCATCTAACAAAGTAATAGATATTTATGATATGAACTTATAAACCAAAAATAATTATACAATAATACTATTTCTTTTAGAACGTCAAAACACTTGGAATATGTAAAATATATTTGGTATGGATTCTTACGAAATTGAAAAGTCTTATTTATTTTATTTGTAAAAAAATATCATCTACCCGTTTAATTGATAAGTTTGGTGAAAGATATAAAATAACATAAATAGACATTTTGAAAAATATGTTTATTATAATTAATTAAGTGTCAATTTGGAAATTAAAAGAAATCTTGGAAAATTAACCTACGTAGTTTTAAAAAAAGCTAATTTAAAAACTATTTTTGGCTTGTTAAATATGACAAATTAAAAAAGTTCGAAAAATAAACTTGTTGTGGGGCGCCAAACAAAACCTTATTGATATGCATAAAAAAAATGTTTTTACCAATCGAACACCAATCAAAACTTTTGTCTACTCTCATCTCTTTAAAAAAAAAAAAACTTTTTTCTACTTTCATAAGTAAAAATGTTTATTCTTACCGGCTTTTCGATAAAATGATCCATAACAAATATGGATGATTATAAGTGGGTACCCGCCTCATTTTGTCTAGACCGTAACTAGAACTAGCGGTTCCTGTGACTGATCTAGGCAATTTTTAAATTTTTAGAACCAGTCTCGAAACTGGATAACCCGGTTACGTCGGTTTTTTAATTTCGTTAATACAAAATAATTCTTATCAATTAAAACAAAAATTATATACTATAACTAGTTCATTATGATATAATTTACAATCGGCAATAAAATAATCGTTTTAAAAAATAATCCAAATCGCTAAATATAAGTCATAAACCAAAGTCCATGTTATTACCGTTAATATTTAGCATCATAATCACCAATTCATATTCATTTTAGACCGTTTGTATTATTGAAAAAAAATTGAAAATGTGATCTATTAGCATGGTACCTCCATTAACCGGTTAGGCAGTCCCAATAATATCATAGTCATCAACGTTAGTATGAGCAGTTTGTTTAAGTATTAAGTATTTTAAAATTTTAATATTTTGGAATCAGTTCTAACAATTACCCGACGGGTAACAGTTACAAAAAAATGGAAACCAGAACCAGGAATTGGTGGTTCCAACTGGTTCCAGTTCCAAAAACGGATGATAATAAGTCCCTACTATGACACTATCTGAATCTATTTCATTTTTTGTATTTTTCTTTTTCAAAAATTTATTCTAATTCAGTAAAAACAAAACATTTTCTTGAAATTTCAGCATTTTTTTTTCGGAATACTAAACTTAATATTCAACTTTTATCACTTCCAATAAGGATTTTATCGCCAACTTAATACTAGTAAAATTGAGTTTAAAATTTTAGAAACTATTATTATAATATAATAGTCATTTTCAATGTCAACCGAAATGCCACCTCTGATTTTATCACTTCCTATAAGGTTCACTTCCTCTGGTCACAAACTTATACTGTTTGACACGTACAAATCAATATTAGCATTCCAACAAAGTAAATGCTATCCAAACAACCAAACAACTTATATTATATTACTCCCAAAACCTATCCAAACAACTTTCTCCCAAATCCTATCCAACAACTTATGGAATGGAGTGGTTGGGAACAAGCTTACAAGAGCTTTTAAAATTTTTTACCTTTTAAATTTTTTTAGCTTTTACATTAGAAAAAGAAAACTCATATTTCAGAGCTTTTAACTTTTAGTTTTCATGTTTTATGAAGTTTTACAGCTACTTTTGTCAAACACTTCTAAATAAAAAAGAAGCTACCATTTTATGCCACCATGGCTTCCAATTTTTGCAACCATTTGATGTACTGATGTTGCTCCTTTTTGTGTAAGTGGAGAAGGAGGAAGTTGGTGAGGCTTTTCCCTATTCCTCTTGATATTAGGTACTGCTTCAGCTCTTGTTGCAAACCAAGGTCTAAGTTCCTAAAATAAATAATGAATTTATCAAAATTAACCAAATTTTAATTATTTCTTAAACCTAGAACTTAACATTGTCTATATTGATAAGGAAAGTAAAAACATACCTGAACAGGGGACCTCTGTAGACTGAGGAACTGAAATCAATAGGCGACTTCAAATAATATGCATTTTGAATATGAAAGTCAATTCTATCTTGACCTTGGTCCAAAACTTTACAATCAAACTGCAGTATTGAGGTCAATCCTGTCTTTTTGATGCACACCTTCATATCCACTTCCTTGGGATAACAGTCATCTCCTAGAAAGGTTTCCTCACCAAGTATTGCAGAAATAGCAAGCTCCTCACCAGATTCACATTTCTTGATCATAGTTACATCTTTGGAATGTTGTGAATCCCAATCCATCACAAAATCGCCTGAGGAACCAGTTTCATTCTAAATTCATATCCATGAATGCATTAATCAGCTTCCATTGACAAAAGAACTAGTCTAGTATCTGTATAAACAAAGAATGATTATAGAAATAGAGGTACCTTATAAGGATCATTAGCAAGCTCGTGTCTTATCTCTGATTGCAAGACTTTAAGCAGTTCCAGTTCTTGCAAAGCTCTCTTTCCCTTTTGCAACAATGTAGTAACCCTTGACATTGCTAACCAGAGAATAGTGATTAGTGATTAAACAAGTAAGGGAATGCACAATCAAAATAAAAACAATGTGCAACCGGAGGGAAATCGTGATGTAATTGTGTTGATTAGTTAACGACAACAATGAATCGATTGAAACGATCCGAGTTCGTTAACTGATAGATCCAAGGTTTTTCACAAACGTATAATATATCAGTTGAATACTTCAGATTAATCTCGTGATACCCGTCGATTTCATTAGCAAACATGCGTAAATTGATTATCAGAAAGGTAAAGGCTATATTGATCGGGCGACATTGCGAACTCAAGAACAGAAATTGCAACAGTTAATAAAGCTTCGAAATATATGAATGAAACGATACCAGTATCTACAGCAATCAAATCGTCGTCGTTTCTCAAAATCCCTAATTTGACGAAAAGAACATTAACTCAATCAATTTGCTGGTGTGATTATGTGAGTATGTGTGACTGAAAGGAGCGAAGAAGATTAAAAATAAATAAATAAATAAAAGATTGGGGGGTACCTGCTGTCTTGCCGGCGAGAAGAAGGCCGCTGGTCGTGACGTTGAAGTAGACTTGTCGAGTGAGGATGAAGAAAGCAAAAATTGAGGGTTAGGTTTGTAATTCAACGAGACGACGAAGGGGCAAAAATGGATATTTAAATTACCATCATACATAATGTGCTGTTTGATTTTCTGAAGCAAAAATTCATGAAGTCTGCGGACTACCTTTGCAACCCTCTGCAGTAGAAGAGGTGAACCAAAAGGTTGCAGATAATAAGAAGCGTGTTTGTTTTTTTAACATCTGCATACTGCTGCAAATATTAAAAAATTAAAATAAACTAATTTTATAAACCGAAAATAACTTTTTAATACGTAAAATTTAATAATGTATAACATTTCGGTAAAAATTAATGATACTTCAGTAAAAAAGAATGATATTTCAACAAAAAATAAAGATATTTTCAGTAAAAAATAATGATATTTCCTCAAGAAATTATCATTATTGAATATAAAAAAAATAAAAAATAAATTCAATAAGAATAAACGAAAAAAAAGGGAAAAAAAATGTGAAATAAAATTTTAATAACATATAATCAAAATTTCAGCAATAAAAAAAGAAGAAGAAGAAGAGGTTGGAAGAGGCAGTACAAGTGCTGCGCCAAACAGAGCACGCGCAGAGGTTTTTGATTCAGAAGACTTCTAAAAAACAAACAGCTGCGAGATGAAAAGTGTGAAGTCTGCGGACTACCTTTGCAACCCTCTGCAGTAGAAGAGGTGAACCAAAAGGTTGCAGATAATAAGAAGCGTGTTTGTTTTTTTAACATCTGCATACTGCTGCAAATATTAAAAAATTAAAATAAACTAATTTTATAAACCGAAAATAACTTTTTAATACGTAAAATTTAATAATGTATAACATTTCGGTAAAAATTAATGATACTTCAGTAAAAAAGAATGATATTTCAACAAAAAATAAAGATATTTTCAGTAAAAAATAATGATATTTCCTCAAGAAATTATCATTATTGAATATAAAAAAAATAAAAAATAAATTCAATAAGAATAAACGAAAAAAAAGGGAAAAAAATGTGAAATAAAATTTTAATAACATATAATCAAAATTTCAGCAATAAAAAAAGAAGAAGAAGAAGAGGTTGGAAGAGGCAGTACAAGTGCTGCGCCAAACAGAGCACGCGCAGAGGTTTTTGATTCAGAAGACTTCTAAAAAACAAACAACTGCGAGATGAAAAGTGTTGCGCGTGTGCTGCGCCGCGCAGCAGTAAGAGGTTTGAAGAGGGTTTTTTTCAAAAATAAACAGCACCTAAATAACTTGATCTTTTCTGTACATATTTGCTATTGTAATCTTTTTTTTTATGTATCGTTAAACTCATATATCACGTTTGAAGTTTATCTTTTTATTGATAATACTCAGTTTAGGTGGTTTCAACTAATCCTTTGGTTGATTAATGATTTTATAGGGTAACAAATTATATTTGATAGATACATTGCCAAAGCTTCACACTTACCATCGGAGAGTCGAAAATTTTAGAAAGTGCAATTAAAGACAAATTTACAAAAATAGTCTTTGTGGTATGTATTTTTTTGGAATTTTAATTCAAATCACAATTTTTCTAGATTGGTGGTCCTTTTAAGCTAGTTTTGTTGTATTTTTAGTTCTCCAGAAAACTGAAAATATTAAAATGCCATTCTCATACATTTTTTTTTATGATTTTTGCTATTTAATTTAAAGTTTTATTAATAAAAATTATGGGTCTCTCTCTCTCTCTCTCTTTGTTTTTATTTCTTCCACCATCGGAGGTGGATGCATTTCCGGTGAACATCAAAAACAACAAATCCACCGGTGAGCCAAGGGGCTGCCATCGCCACTACCAACACCTCCATCGCCACCAACTGCCGCCTCTGTTAATGCTTCCTTCTTCTCGGATCAAAGACCTCCATCATTTTTTACGTTTTTCTGCCGATCACAACAGTAAGGGTATGAAGGCTCCGGGGATAGCCTTCTGCCGGTACCGCTCCTCGTGACTGTGTAACTACCATAACTTGAGACCTGCTTATCAATTTCACAAAGAAAGAAGAAAGAGAAATCGAATCATCAAATAAGAAATAAAGGATCATTGAGTGTTGTGATCAAAAACACATACACACACACACCTATTAATCGATCCAACTAAGATAAGGAAAGGATATCCATGGTTCGATTTCACATGTAAAATCAATTTCATATTCGAAATTGATTTCATATTGTATTAGGGCTTACCGAGATTGGATCTTGAGAGATCGACGTGGTTAAATCATGACATATTCGAAAAGGTTTTTTCCCCTGATATGTCTTCAACTTCTCAATCAATTTCATCTGTTGTTCTTGAAGAGCAAACCCAGAATATTGAATGTGCGTGTGTATCAGTGTGTATTAAAGTGCAAAGCTGTGAATTGATTTCCATGTGAATTGATTTCCAAAACCGAAAAATAGATCACCGTTGACATCCGTCAACGACGAACATGACCATCACTTGCCAGTAAACATATTGTCGTCCCATTTTTCTACCACTCTGTCGAGAATCAAATCCTAAATCTTGATATTTTAGGTGGGTTTCATTGTGATAGTTTGGTCTAAGGGTTTTAATGGAGGAGATGGTTAATTTCCCGACAATGGAATGATTATCGAGGTTCATTGGGTAAGGGAGGGGAAATAGCATGAACAAGAATTCAAGAACTGGGTGAGAGTTGGGTGGAAATAGGGGAAAGAGGTGGGGTCATAGGAGAGAGAGAGAGAGAGAGAGAGGATCCACTTTTATATTTAATAATAATAATAATAATAATAATAATAATAATAATAATAAAAAGTGAAATAAAAATGAAAAATAAATTCATTAAGGGTATAATAGTCTTTTTAGTTTGGACAACGACCAAAACTGCAAGCAAAGTAGCTCAAAAGGACCACCAACTGTCCAACTCAATAAAGTCGGGGTTTGGACTAAAACCCCAAAAAAATACATATCGCAGGGATCGTTTTTGCAATTTTGTCGAATTTAAATTACATCCTACTTTTTATACCTACAATTATTTCTACTCACTAAAATTATAACAAATCACCATTCAATTTAGTTTTATTTAATATATTCCTAATGAGAAATTAAATATCTTCCTACTTTTTGTTTCTATAAATCTTCCTACCCAATTTTTTTTTTTTTTTTTTTTTGGAACGGCGAATCTAACATACTATTAAATACACCTTAAATCTACCTATTTCCACGACGAGACTTGAACCCTCAACATCAAGGAGGGAGGGCAACAACGGATACCGCTAGACTATAAACCCTTTGGTTCCTACCTAATTAAATAATGACATGTGTATCATTTAACATTCATTTAATAATATTTTAATACACTAATATGACACCTATCATCATTTAATTGGATAGGAAGATTTGTAGGAACAAAAGTATGAAAATATTTAATTTCTCATTCCTAATATAGCCCTAAAGAGTGAGTTAAAAAAATATATGAAATATTTAAACTTATCATAATTTTATCGGGTAGAAATAGTTGTAGACATAAAAAAATAAGAGACAATTTAATTTCACTTTTAAAATAATAAAACCTCATTCTTTTAGATTAAATGAATAATGACTTAAGAAACTATATTTTATGTATATATTTGGTCGCTTCATTTTAACCAATCAAGATTTACTATTAAATTCACATATAACGTTTGGAATATATCATTTCAACCAATCATGGTCAATTTTTTTATTGGTTTTTTGCGATCATTTTAGTTGGTTAATAACTTTATGCTTCATGTACAAATTTGACCATTGACTTGTTTTATGCATTTACCATTAAAATGAAATTGTTGTTTAAAAAACACTATTAAACTTCTTTTACAACCTTTAAAACAATTTAATAAACTTTTTTTTTTATAAAACAACTTTTTTCTATCAATTTTTTAATATTTGTTTACAACTTCTAAACAATTTTTTTTATATTACAAAAGAGTTGTAAAAAAATAACTAAAATATTATAAAATTTATAAAAAGTTGTAATTTTTTTATTAAAAGACAATAAAACAAGTTTGTAGAAAGATGGAGAAAAAGTTAAAAATATATTTCAAAAAAGGTTTAATGGAGGGTTTTGAACAATAATGTTTGTTTAATAGTAATTTATGTATAAAAAAATTGAGTAACCAAATACTTATGTATCATATAAAGTCATTAACCCATTACAAGAGTCGTTGGATTTCCAGACCCGTTATTGTCCGCTAAATTGTATATGAACACTACAAGCAATTTAATGGTATATCATATAAATAAATAAAATAACTAAATTTCTAAATGAAACATAGTTGCTCATCAAGTCATTATTCTTAAAAAAATTAAAACAAATTAGAAATGAGGTCCGTGCGTTGCATGGGTCAGATATTTTTGTTGATGTTTGGTGGGTTATGAAAGTAGGATGCTATAATGTTATTTAAATACAAAACAACCAGATAGATCAAATACAGTTTCATCTCTTAATAGTGGCAAATGAGCAATGTGGATTCTCACCCTTTCTATTGTTGGAGATGATCCTGAAAAAACAAAAAAACTTCAAAATTGACTTTCAAACTTATACTAAATAATAATTAAATATTTGAAATTGTCTGTTATTTGTAATTAATTTTTGTAATAACAAAAAAAATGTCACAAAAATTGAAAAATCATTTATAATAAGGGAAAAAATTAGTCATTTTATTTGGAAAAATGACAAAAATGTTACAAACACCTCAACACTCCACCTTTGGTTTCCAACCTGTTCAACAACTTGAGACATATTTTAAAAACCAAATCAACTGATTGTATTTATTGGAGCATTGGATAGTTGGATTATTTCCAACTATCACTTTACTGTTGCAAATCTTATGGTAAAAGTATCTCAAATCTACCCGAAGCATATCAGCAATATAGAATTAGTTACTATTCAAAAATATGAATAATTGTGTGTCTTCCCTCATATTAGCAACAATAATTATCTTACATTGGTTCGCTGCGACACATCTACTATCTAGGAAGCTTCATCTAAGACATCGATTGACTGCAAGAGGAATTTATAGGATCCAAGCATACAAAATAAACATCATTACAAAAGAAAATCACTATAAATTAGATTTCTAATAAAAATGTAAGTGAATAAACTATTAGGACATTATACTTAATAAAATCTATCTAATTTAACCCTAAATATAAAGATCTTAATTGAGGATAGAGGATAGAAGTAACATCGTCATCTGCATGACCAATGATTGCGGATCCCCACGAACCAACATAATCAATATACTCATTCCCATCAGTGTCCCACATGTAATGTAAGAACCCTTCACGGAATCAATTACAATTGGCTGCCCACCAACTAATTTGAAAGCACGAACATGAGAATTAACACCTCCTGGGCCCTGGCATCAACCCCAACCGACAAAATATGAATAAAAAAAAATCACTGTAAGTGAAAGTTTTCATTGAATGAGATGTCAAGATTTCAAGAGCATAAAATAGTAGATAACTGCATATAGGCAGTGAAATTTCGCAAAAGGTGTTTCCTAATTTTCTCCAAACGATAATCCAAATTGCATACAATACAGAGGGAAGGCTTCAATCGTCAACTTTTGAACAACATTATAGCTAACCTTAGTGATACACATCAATTGTTAGACCATATAAAAACACAATTTTATCCACAAAAAAGGAAAAGCATGAATGAAAAGTAGAAAATAAAGAAATAGAAAGAAAAATATTTAGGTAAGAGACATACCGGAAATAGTATTGCTACGCTCATATTCACCTGAAATAATTATATATAAATATAAGAAGTAATGATTAGTAACACCACATAAAATTAATGCATAATAAACAATTAAAAAAACTCATATGCTCCATATTGCATAGCAGAAATGCAGAAAAGCAAAGAAGTACTATCACCCAACGCTTTGAAAACCGATTTGTTTCTTGTGTTTCTCCAACTAAAACAACCTAGCCTCACTTGCTCCTCCTTCTGATGATACTACAACTGAATCTAAATCTATTCCTGCCACATCATACTCCTCAGATTTTGCAGGGGTTGCCTATTGAATATACTGTTATGTTTTAACTGTTTCAGTTTAATCCGATTGCATCATGCTATTCATTTATGATTTCTGATTTGGAACTTTTTGCTTTCTTGTGGGATCATTGGAAGATCAACACCATGGGAATAAAATCCCTTGAAGTAAAAAAGAATATATATATATATATATATATATATATATATATATATATATATATATATATATATATATATATATATGAAAGAAAATGAAGAAACAATTGCTTTATATATGTGATTGTGAAACTAACATGTCAATGAACCATTGTTTATGCTTGAAGTAACATAAACAAATTATCAGATTTATACAATATGATTAATAACCCCAAATTATAAAAAAACATACAATTAAATCTTAAATGATTTCCAAATTGGAAGATTTTCCTCTGAATCTACTTGCAAATTGAATGACTGGAGAAACATAATTCAAGTTCTAAACGAACTATGAATGGCAATTATTTAGAGATTCAAAAATTGCAAAAACATTTAGTGATAGCACAAATTTTTTAATATAATTACAGAAACAAAAAAGATTTAAAGTAAAAAAAATCAGATGTAAACATGGAAAATAAATCATATTTGTGACAGGATAAAGTCAAAAAAGTACAAAAATGAATCTTTAATTAAGTAAAGAAGTTGGAAAAAGAAAAGTCAGAAAGGGCATAAAAATTTCTTTTTACCGATGCTTGAAATCGTCGATTGAAATCTGATTGTCATGAAAAACGACGTCATTTGATGATATCACTTGCCAAACGATTGATTTTCCTGATTTCTGTCTAACCTCAACCCCTCATATTATGTTAAGCCGTGATTAACTAGGGGTGAGCATTTGGACCGGACCGGACCGGTGAACTGGATCTGACCGTTTTTTTGGACCCCCGGGCCGGTTCTCGGTTCTAAGATTTCTCTCCGGTCCGGTCCGGTTTTTTTCCCGGTTCGGTCCGGTTTTTACCGGGTTTAGAACCGGTTGGAAATGATTCAGATTTTTGTGACGTTTTTTAAACACTTATACCTCATTCGTTTTAAGTCGGATTGACTTGCGGTTTTTTCCAACATTTAGTTTACAGTTTGTAGATGAATTTAGACTATAATTTTGTTTATTTTGGTATTATATTCACCTTTTTACAATCCTTCAAAGTAGAGCTATCAAAGCTGAAAAAATTCAGCTTTTCAACAACATTTTGTAATCTGTGACGTTTTTTAAACACCCATAACTCATTCGTTTTAAGTCGGATTGAC